CAGTCTACGCTGTCAAACTTTTAGCACCTGCTATTTTGCTTTGGTCCCTTATGTCAATTCCTCCAGTGTTTCAGGAGGATGGGATGGGAGAAGTGGGTCAACAAAGGTTGATGCTAAAATGGGGATGAGGGTGAGACTCGGGCCATTGGACTAGCATCCACTTTTGGCGTCACTGGCTTCATGTTCTGCCCATGACGACACAGCGAGTGAAAGTAAAAAGGTGTTCGAAATTAGCTTGGTGATCTGCTTACCTAATTCTGGGGGAAAAAAATCTTTACTTTACTCCCTGCTGCAGGTAATTTACCTTACTGGGAATTAAAAAGAAAATCTTTAACAGATTATATGCATTTATTTTATGTTTTCTCAACATCTGGAAAACATTACTAGACTTTCAGATTTCAAAACCGCTATAAGCATGGCAGTGCCTGAAGATAAGAAGAGCACATATACTGGAAACTCACCCTGCTATCATACTGTGTACCTGCTGCTTTCCCTACAGGCCCTGGGTGACACTTTCTATAATGCAGTAATCCAAAAATCATGTTATCATGCCTTGGGGAATGAAATACAGTGAGTGCAGCTTCAATCCTATTTCCCTGAATGGAGTCAGTGCACCTTATTTTTCTAAGATTTGTCTTAACACAGTGGATTATCATTGCCCCCTGAAAACCTGCACATCTCAAAAGCATTGGGCTCACATATCCCCAGATACATTTCTGCAATAATCCACCGCTCCTTCCACAGGCCAGAAAAGGCAAACAAACACATACACACATGCATGCATGCAGCAACATGCTGACATTGAGATTGAGAGACTGATGGTTTTATGCAATCCGGCGTATTTTAATGTATTTTGAGGAATTCGAACGTGCTGCATATATAGAGAGAATTCCCGCGGGTCTCACTCACTGACTGGTTGCAGATGGGGAATATTCCCATTTCATGATAATTTGCTCTGCTGGAATGACATCTGAAATACATGATATCAAATATGAATATACTTTACATATTCTAATGTTCTTGGAGTGTAAGTAAAAAATGGTGACAAAAATATGAAGCTCTTATTTTACACAAATACATTTTGTTCAGTCTAGTGGGAAAACCTTGTGCTGTTTAAATCATGAAGAAAATGGTGCAGACAAGGAAATAAGAAAAAGTAATTGATGAAAGCAATATGTACCCAAATGGAAATTCATGAAAGCTGTCACCTTCATATCTTTGAAGACAGCAGCATGTCTGTAACATAAGCTTTCCTTGTGTAAAGACTACTGCTTTGATTAAATGTTAGCAATCCCCACACACTGGAAAATATACTGAGGGACATCTTTGATAAACTTGTGAAATAAATTCTTTCCAATAAAAATGTTCTTGAGGATGATGATTTGCGGAGGAGCGCAGCGCTGACATGGTGCACATTGCACTTGGTTCTTTTCCCAGCACCCCTCCCTCCAGGGGTCTCGGTGGCGAGGATCTCTAATGAGACTTGCGTTATTAATCCTTGCAATGGGGTACATGAATTCACTCCAGAGCAAAGGCTTCAGCAGCCACCTTGGCCCATAAAACCTGGAATGTATTCCTTTCATGTGCTCTGTTGATGATCTACTCTGACAACAATATGGTAAGACTTCCCTTCCCCTGTCGCGCGGGCCCTGGCCCGGGGCCAAAGAGGGTCATCTCAGACACACTTGGACTTTTATAGGTGGTCAAGAAACATGCTGACAGGTCACAAGTGGGAGCTCCTTTATGAGTAGGACCTAAACATCCACCTCATTTGGAATTAGTTTATTTATAGGTGGCCTGTAAATCACATTTATTTTGTTTTCTAGCTTTCGAATGGCTTTGGGGTCATTTTAGAAAACCAACATACTTTTAGGCCACGGCCATTAAAACAACAGCATCGAGTTTGTTTTACCAAGATTTTCTCTCAACAGGCTTGTAATCATCTGTGAAACATAGCCGTAAAAGTGCAATGATCAGTTGTGAAATAATTCATGCAAAGAAAATTTCACTTGACTTATATCTTAATGAGATTGTAAAGGATCACAGAGGCTGTGCCTGTGCAGGTGGCATGAAAGCCACATTTTTTTCTCAAAAACAATAATTCTCTTAACATATTTATCAATAATTTTCTGATCACGCAAGGGTCCATTAAATAAGAAATGCTATACAGCAGGATTGCACTAATGAGGTGCTGACAGCTCAGGTGTGAAATGTTCGACTTTGGTTCTTGTACTCCTTTGATCTATAGATTTACCCTCTTACTATAGAATGACAGTGAGTCAAGAGAGCAGCACCTCTGCTGTGTGCTTGTGTGTGAGAGACACAGAGACAGAGACAGAGAGGGCATAAACAGACATACAGACTGACAAAAAGTGTATTATGTTTAATCCTGGATCAAGTTCACCAGCCTGTGATGATCCTCATAATGCATATTTTCAGTTCTTGTTAATTTTGCCTTTTTACATCCAAATGCATTCACACAAAGCCTCTGGGATTCGTAGAAAATTGGCTTTCACAAGCAGCAGTTCCTCCTGATTTTGCTAAAATGGAATTAATGACTTAGAGTAACCCTTTTTCGCGAAACCCAAAAGCTACTCCAGGGGCATCGTTTTACAAGTTTCCCAGAGGAATCCTGCATTTGCTACAAAGAGCAGAAAGAAGGAGGCGATTGGTGAAAATCAAGATTTGGTTATGCTGCAGATAAGTGAGATTCTCTGTTGAGAGACAGGTCAAAATAAATAATAGAACTGGCTTTGAGTCATTTAAAAAAAAGAAGCTTGATCTCAATTGTCAGTTTGTTGTTTCCGTCTCTGTGCAGCAGTCTGGGAAGGGTCTCGGTCTTGATTGACAGATTGTGTGCTGTATGCATGTAGCTCTGGTCCCCTGATGGCCCAATAGCCAGCTTTACTGTCCCATTTATGACACGAGCCAATCTGCCTCCAGCCGAGACTCTCCCTCAGCTTTTCACAGATTTGTATCCCCATTTTCCCCAAATTCATCTCACCCCCTACTCCCCCTCCAGCTTACTTTAAGACTCACACATGCACAAACTGCCCACATACACACACACAGGCAGAAGCACACACACACACAGAAGCAAACACAGGCACAAGCTGAGTTCACTGCAGTTGAAGATGATGTAAAGTGAGATGCAAGTGGAAAAAGTGAGAGTTAACTGCCTGCATGCAGCTCTCTTACAGTGTTAAGTTACTTTGGTATAACCAACGATGGGAAAGTTATCCGGATCAGTCACTAGAGAGCGCTATCCCAGTGTCACTGCTGAGAAATCCCTTCATCTTTAGGCCTGGGTACAGTATGAACGACGTTTGTTGTGCGACATGTTTCATTATTTCTGGTTTCGGGAGCTTCTCGATCGCTCTCACTTACTCTTTCACTGTGTGTGTGTGAGAGAGAGAGAGGGAGGGAGAGAGAGAGAGACACACACACACAGACATGAGCAATTAAAAATTCTTATATATTCAGTAAACACTTTATTTTTTTTATTGTGTTTTTTAATTATTAACCAACAACTGTGATTATATTTATTTAATTTTTATATTTAATAGTTTTTTCTCCGGTTGCATGCAGACTTGTGCAGTGTTAGTGCATCCTTACTCTCCGTTTGGACACCCCCCTGCCAGAACTGCACAGTCCTGTACGTTATTTGAATTTCAGGGGCTAGAGTTTACCAGCACTGAAACACGGTGGTCCACGTCTTTTTAACCCCTCCGTCATTTCAGATACAAAAATAACTAAAAGAAAAGAACCTTTTTATTCTGCTGTCTGAATCCTCACAACCATCAAGCTGCCTATCAATATTAAATTGCATTCAAATATTCTAAAAACAGGCTAAACGGTTCAATATTTTTATTATAAGTTAAATTATATTAATGTGTTAATTCGTTATTTTTCCTATCTAATAAGCTACCTATAGTAAAAGCCTCATATAGGCACTGATAAAGAATGTTATTTTTTGTTGCGTGTCAATCAGTCACCAATTTAACAACAATTCAAAGGTTTAAAAAAAACACAAACTCCGAACATAGGAAAACAACATACGTTTTTATATATGAATAGCCTGTATATATTTTTTTTCATCTTCTTGAGGGAATTAAAGCCCTAGCAACAAAATGGTTTGTCACACAGTCTGAGAAAAGGGGAAGAAAGGCTTGCCTATAATAAAGGTCTCCTGACTTTACTCGACTTTTATTTTACTTGAGCAGAGACAAATAAAATAAGAATTTAAAAAAAAAAGCGTAACGTATTAATTTCAGTTATACCCCTTCAGCTTGTGTTCACAGCCAATGGTTTTATTATAGCCAATACTGAAAACGTGGAAGTGGAAGAGGCGACGGAGGCCAATTATAGGAAATAAGGTGCACATGTGATATTTTTTTTTTTTTCAAAGTGTTGGAGTGTTTGCAGGGGGGGAGAAAGGGTCTCGGCTTTTGCTGTTCATCGAGCATAAATCTTCCTGGTTGAGTGAGTGGAAGTAATCTGACAAATATCTGAATGTGTGTGTTTTTTTTCTGTTGCTGTTGGACGTGAGGACTTGAAGCCGAAGCTGAAAGTTTAGAGGTGATTGTGCGTGTGCGATGGGGGAATGCAGGGCTGCTGAAGTGCGACCATTTGGTGTTTAATCTTTGAGGTAAAATGTGGAGAAATACTGCTCGTCGGTTGAGCCTTTTTATAAATTACCCTTCACTCATATTTTTTATTTTTTATAAAAACAGATCATTTGCACTTCTAATCTATTGTAAAACGATATGAAATGTTGGATATGTGTTGCGCGGAGAGATCCACTAACCGGGATATAAGAGTAAAAATGAACTTAACGACAATAAAGACAAATTTTCTCTTGATTTTATTTCCACCAGACGCTTTCTAATTGAATTAGAGTAGTGCAACCATTGGCTATGGAGAGGGCTGGTGCCCCCGCATGCTACTCCAAAAGCTCCTCCCCTATCGCTTACAATCAGTTGGGCGTGTGGAGAACTACATCTTATAAGAGCCGCTGAACGTCTCATGTCCAGCACATAATCTGATCTGAAAATCCGTAGGTGAGGAGAAGGTTTTCACCTACTTCCATGATCATTGGTAAGGGAGGGAGGCGCGCAGAGACAGAAACAACCAGGGCCGCCGGTGGTTGTGTCGCCTCCTCGGCTGAGATTCACTCCTCTGGACTCCTTGAAACTCTTCTTATTTATTGCAAGATCTAAACAATGCAGTTAGAGAACATCCTTCCCAGCGCTAGCATCAATTTACCCAAGACCTTTTTCAATCTCTCCTCGTCGGACAGTGCCAACAACAGCCCGAGGCCGTCATCGCAGCTTGAATATCAAGAAGTCGACCGGACGGAATCAGAGTCGAGCAGCGCTCCTAAGAAATATCTGAGCGGGGTGGGAAACGGGATGCTGGGTGAGGGAGAGGGGGACACTTTCACTAAAACCGGGCCCGATGGGAGAAAAGGCTCCCCGGTGCTCGGTGAGGACGAGCTGACGAGCGGTCGGCGTTACAACATAGACGAACTTGGCTCTGACAGATACTTCATCTCGTCGTCCCAGGCGAGTTCCGACATGGCCAGCCCCTGTTCCCTCTTCCCCTATGCAGGACAGACCGGGTCGGTGTACACCGGGTCCAGCAGCTCCAGGTACCCGGCTTCACTTCATTACGGATCCGTCCTGCCGCCAACAGGCTTCTCCTCCTCGTCCGTGTGCACCGGCCGGAGTCAGTTTAGCAGCGGAGGGTACCAGTTCAGCCAGGGTCCGGGCTGTTTGTACCCCTCCTATCCCGGGACGGGCACGGGTATTGGGTCCATGTCTCTGCCGGGGTCCGCCGCCGGGGCAAGAGCGCAGGTCTATCTGTGCAACCGGCCTCTGTGGCTGAAATTCCACCGGCACCAGACGGAGATGATAATCACCAAACAGGGCAGGTAAGCAGATACGCAGCCGAAGGCTCTTAAGGCCCAATTAACAACCATGTGCAGAATATGAAAGTCGTTTTTTCGTTTTTATATTTACAGTCGGCCCGTTTAGTCTTTATTTTTCAAGATGCGCGTCATTGTTTTTAAACCACCTTTACGCATGAGCAAAATTTTTACGCACACGATCCATACCTTCTTTTTGCGCATTTTATGGGTTTTGATGCTTTTTAAATTGAAAGTTTCGTTTCTGGTAAATTTTAAACGCACATTTACGCAACAGGCTAAACATGACAGGGATGCTATTTACATTTAATTCAGATTTAATGTTAGTAAAAGCGTTCTGCCAAATGCATCACGTGAAGACGTTCAGCGCTGAAGTTTTAGAGTTTTGCCTGCTCTGTGAGAACAGCTGTTTAATTATTCTTGTTTTCCTTTTTCCAGACGGATGTTCCCATTCCTCAGTTTCAACATCACTGGACTCAACCTCACGGCCCATTACAATGTCTTTGTAGAAGTTGTTTTGGCTGACCCGAATCACTGGCGCTTTCAGGGAGGAAAGTGGGTCACTTGTGGAAAAGCAGACAATAATATGCAAGGTGAGTTACAGAATTAATAAAAACGTATTTAGCTCTGGCAAGTTTGTATTTTGTGTTTTTATAAATGCTTGAAAAATAAATGAAGAGAAGAACGCGTTTAGAAAGGATGCAGCATTTTTTGCATTTGATCATATGAGAATCTTATGTAGGTGTTAAGATTCAGATTGTTTTAGGAAATAAGGACAGTTTTTACTTCGAACTTGGGCTAAATGTTTTGACAGGTTGCGATTTTGAGTATTTTAATGCAATAATTTTGGCTCTTCCGTAGAAATTTTAATTTGAGGTGTGAAGTCATCTCGGGGAGGTGTGAATTTGCTGGTTAAATGCCTTTTTTAAATGACTGGTACTCCAGAATTATAACTTTAAATGGAAAAATTATATGATTAATTCTTAATTTGATAATTTAATAACAGAATAATTTAAAGAAAAAGAAGCATTTTTTTTTTAATTTAATCAGCCCCTTTCTAATCTATTGGTTGATATTTGTTTTTATTAAAACAATTTAAAAAAGAACTGTCTTAAGTATTTAAATTTACCTGACTGATAAATTCCCCCAAAACCTTAAGATTATTAAAACAAAATGATACATTTTCAGGCAAAAGCAGGATTTATTATATGCATGTTTAGACAACATAATTTGCATAGACACAGGCTCTCTTCTTTTCTGTTTTGTCATATTACTTACTACTTTATTTCCATTTTAGGTAACAAAATGTATGTTCATCCTGAATCTCCAAACACTGGTGCTCACTGGATGAGGCAAGAAATCTCTTTTGGCAAGTTGAAGCTGACTAACAATAAAGGGGCCAACAACAACAACACACAGGTTAGATATTGATTTCTGCTGCTTGAATTCACAAGTATTGACCAGTGATGTCAATACTGTTTCCGATTTTATTTACCTAAAATAATTTTTTGGGACATTATAACTTTTAAGTGCGATTGACATCTTTAAATATAGTTCTTTTTTTTTTTAAAAAGAATGCAAATATTTTCATGCAGCTTGTTTTGAAATCTGCAGCATTGCACTGATCACACATTTCTCCTTTGCAGATGATAGTCTTGCAGTCGCTTCATAAATACCAACCGCGACTGCACATTGTGGAGGTGACAGAAGACGGGGTGGAGGACATGAGCAACGAGGCCAGAACTCAAACATTCACCTTCCCAGAGAATCAGTTTATAGCCGTCACTGCTTACCAGAACACAGATGTAAGCATTTGAATTATTTGTTTTATTTTTTATTTAGAATGTATTCAGCTATTTAGATACAACAAATTTATTCTGAACTGCATGTATTACATTTTTTTTTATTTATTATTGCTCTTTAGTCTCTGCAACTGCACTGTTTGCCTTAAAAGGCACATTATTTATACAGGATTTTTCTTTTTGTTTCAGATCACACAGCTGAAGATAGATCACAACCCATTTGCGAAAGGCTTCCGGGACAATTATGACTCGTACGTATCTTGCACTTTATCAGTGTGGTTCATCTGTTTTTCTTTTGGTGCACTATTTGATACACATCTTGGAGTCTTTTTTTCCTTGCAACTAATTTTTGTTTGTGTGTTCTTTATTTGTTGAACAGGATGTACACAGCCCCAGAGAGTGACAGGTTGACTCCGTCCCCTACAGACTCTCCTCGCTCCACTCAAATTGTGCCCGGGGCCCGCTATGCCATGCAGCCTTTCTTTCAGGACCAGTTTGTCAACAACCTGCCTCAGAACCGCTTCTACGCCAGCGAGCGGGCTGTTCCCCAAACCAACAGCCTTCTCTCCCCACAGAGTGAGGACGCCAGCGCCGCTGCCTCTGCCCAGCGCTGGTTCGTCCCACCAGTCCAGCAGCCGGGCTCCAACAAGCTGGATCTGTCGTATGACAATGACTATTCCACCAGTAGCCTGCTGTCCTATGGCATCAAACCCCTGTCCCTGCAGACGTCCCACGCCCTCAGCTACTACCCAGACTCGGCCTTCGCCTCCATGGCCGCAGGCTGGGGCACCAGAAGCTCTTACCAGCGCAAGATGACCACGGGCCTGCCCTGGTCCCCTCGACCAAGCCCCCCAGCCTTTCCGGAGGACCAGCTGGGGGTTACTAAAGACAAGCTGCCCGAGGAGAGCGCACCGCCAGCCTCGACCTGGATCGAGACGTCCCACTCACTGAAATCGGTGGACTCTACCGATTCTGGTGTATACTCCGTGGTGTGCAAGAGGCGCAGAATGTCCCCTGGGGGCTCAAGCACAGAGAACTCCCCAACCATCAAGTGTGAGGACTTGACTACGGAGGAGTACAACAAGGACAACCCAAAAGGCATGGGTTATTATGCATTCTACACAAGCCCCTAAGACTGTATTTATTGAAACTAAATATAATTCTTTTGTTTGAGTGCTCTCCATTCCTTGTTAATGTCTTTTTTCTCTTTTCTCTAAAGGTGCCAAAGCTTAGTGTTCCCCCAAGCAAGCTGCACAAGGTTATTTTCCCAGGCCAGCCCCTCTCACATACCTGAGCAGAAACATGCATAGTGATTGTTGTTTTTGAAAAAGCATGTCCCTTTTTATTCATTTATTTTTACAACTTTTTTTATTTACAAATGTGATTTTTTTTAAATTTTATTTTCTCCCTGCGTATTTAAGTCATTTTCGTTGTACAGTATTCGTGCACTTTAGAATGTGATGTATCTTGTACAAAATGTCTTCATGGAGGTGTTATTAAATGGATAATAAAACAGCTTTTCACAAAGCATTGTCCAAATGTCTTTCTCAGCATATTTTTATTCATATATTATGGCCATGTTACATTAAGACAGGCCAGAAGCAGTTTTTAAGATCATTTACTGTAAATAAAATCTATCTATACATGCATTTTAAAATGTACAGTAGCTGAAGCAGGAACAGAAAAAACTGGATCTTATTCATTTTTAGTTCAATCTTATTAAAAAATGTGCATGCTTTGTTATGCAGTAAATGTGTATGAGTAGAGGACGTACACTACTGTACTTTAAGGCTTATTATAGCGGCCATACGTTTTGGCCTTTATTTTTAGAGGCCCCTAAGTGGTTGCTGCTGACAAGTTGACATTGCAACAAGTAGGATAAAGTATACAGTATACAATTTAACCTGCTTCTGATTAAAATGATGCTTTCAAATGGGGTGGGAGGTCAATAAAATAGTGTTATTAAATATAATAGATGTTATTAACATCATTTCTACTGTAAGCAATGTGAAATAGTTTTCAACAACATTAATTTGCAATTTATTAATTGCTGCTTTAAATCTATCGCTCTTCTCCACTTAAGAAGCATGTTTTGTGTAATTTTAACAGATTTTTTCATATGCAAACACTTCAGGTAACAAATACAAATAATCATAAGCATAGTAAATAATGATAGAAAATGAAAGGATCCATACAGTGTGAAATTTCTATTTTAAGACCAGTCAGCAAGCACTGAGATAGTTCACATTGCTGAAGTTTCAATTTGTGCAGGATAAAAGATGGGTGTACTTGATAGAGATGAACTGTATTCAAAGGCTTAGAGAATATATGACTTCTGTTTATTAATATTTCACATACTTCATTGATGTTGACCACATATGAAGATGCTGAGGTTGACCTTGTTCATTTTATATGTGGGGTAAATGTGTGTTGTTGTACATTTTGTTTTGTTGTCCTATGAAGTAGATTTTATATATTGGGAAATCTAAATAAATAAATTAATAAAAATAGATATTTTGGTCATGTTTTCTTGCTTCTGGAAATAGAAAGCAGAAATTCTCGGAACCTATTGGATTTATGCACAAAAGAGCTGAGCAATCCTTTTTAAGCTACAAAGTGTTACAAGGTAACACTACAGCTCACAATTCAAGTGAGCGAAGTGTGATTTAAATATGAGATTTATATGTCTTACGTGACTAACAACATAGACCCGATTAGGAGAAAAGCACACAAAAGCACATAGTCCTACTATTCCTTCTGTTGTTGCCATGGTGTTTTCACACATTTTATCATTTACCTAAGTAATGCAACTGCATGCGAGGCATGTGTACTTAGAAAATATGAAAACAGGCTAAAAGGAAAAATGGCCCATCAACCATCCAACTAAGGGCAATGTACAGCTCAACACCTCTATTTATACAGCATATCTATGGCCTCTCCAAAAGAGAAGTCATAATATTCACACACATACTTGGCTCATGTTCTCAGCACCTGTTTTTCCTCTGTGAAAATACTTCAAATCCTCCCCCATAAGGACCCCAATTTGAATTGATTTACATACTCGAATTCTAATTAATTCTGTTGTCAGACTCCTTGACAAAGTGAGGAGTCTGACTAACTCCAATTAACACCTCCTAACAAGGTAGAGTGCTTGATTGCCCTGGCCTCTCAGGAAAGCTGTAAGAAAAAGGCTCTTGGGGGGTTCGAGTCTGGAGAATAAAAATGTTTGCACTTGTACTTGTCAGCAAATTGTATTTCGGAGCATCTGATGATGTTTTTCTTCTCCTTTTCATGTTGTCTTGACCTCTGCTCATCAGTGGTTATGATGTGGAGAATTGCTTTCAAGATTATAACTGGACAACTACAGGAGCAATAAAACAGAGCTGCATAGATGGGATAGTAATTGATACACTGAAATCAGAGAGAAATAGAATGACAATTTGAGACACCCATAACTTACAACACATAACTAACTTATAAGTTAGTGGAAATAGCAGTTGCTACAACCTTTCTCTATGTCAGAAAACTCCAAATTAATTTTTGAGTCCTCTTATGTAAACACAGTTAGGTGCTTTGTATATACCTATTTTACATCAATTATGGGAAATTTAGCAGTTTAACTTCCAATAATCATATGATCGCTGGAATTTGTCTTTCCACGCGGAACTCCAGCACACACAAACAAACCCAAGCACATATACATACTCCAAGGGTGCAACCACTGTCACCAACCGTGAATCATCCTGTTTAAATGCCTTGTAAAAGGCATGTTGGCATTGATATTGGGCACTGCAGATTTAATCTCTGCCATCTTCCCACTGGAATAAAATCTCCTGTCAATTAAGTAGCATACACAGCCACAGCACATGAACTGTAACAGGGACATCTATCTTTCATTTAAACTACAAATATCCTTTACTGCAGCTCTGTAAACATCCTCTCATCATTTATTTGATGGATATTACACAACTTAAAAAACAGGTGACTCTCGGAAGCTCTGGACAAATCCACAAACCTAGCAACAAGTCGATAGGTTGTGTCTTTCTCAACCATTCATGCAAGAAGTACAGTAATCAATAGACACCTCTACAGCATGCTTCCACAAATTCAGACCGTGTTGACTTAACGGAGATATGCGCATTGGGATAAGACCTGAAGAATTGACTACTGTGCTCTACTGCTGTTGTTAACATTGCTAGCTACAATCTCAGTAATCGAATGAGTTTTGTTGTAGTGTCAGTAATACAAGGCCAACCAGTGGTTTGCAGAATTTATAGCGTATTAGTAAAACTTAAGTTCTTGTTTCATGTCGCGTGTCTGTGTCCTTCCCTCAGGCTGTCCATTGGTGACCATGTTGAGAGTTCATGTAAGAAAGGCCAAAGAGGCTACGGAGACATTGTACCCAAGGAGGGCTGACATCTAAACACAGATGAAGGCCTGAGGCTGTTTCCTCACCTTCAGTCACACACTATTACTGCTCTCACTGACTAAATGCAGCCACAGGCAAAAATGTGTGTCTGGGTCAAGATTTTTTAGAGGCCCCCTTTAAAAAGTAAGCTCAAGCAAGACTGAAACGGTGGCGATTATGTTTCCTCTTCACACTATATTTCCCCTTTTGATGTGTTGATAAATGTCACCTCTGTTAAATGATTATCAAGCCACTTAGAATTACTGCAAAATTGTTCCTCAGGGATGGTTCGAGTCCCATATGGTCACTCTTCTGTTTTGTGATGTATTCACTCATGATCTAGTTAATCGTTTTTATTTTACAAAGGGTTTTGATGTTTATATCTTGAGCTTAATGTCGTTAGTCGACACGTCAGATCCAGTCTTTATAATTGGATCTGAAATGATAGACCCAGTTTTTTTCTGGTGACTACTGTGCACATTCAGGCCTACACCAAAGCCAAGGACCAGGTTCAGTGTACTTTATTATATTGTACCACCCTTAGAGATAACTATAATGCACAATAACACATGTAGACACCTTCTGGCATGTGTTTATGCCATGTAATATTATGTTTTATATATATTGAGCATATGTTCTTTATATTATTAAGTGGAGGTCATGGGCACTGACAGTCCTAATGATGCTGACAAAGGCTCACCTTTTAGCTCGCCCCAGGTGTCTGTGTACACAACACAATGCTTTATTTAGTCTCACTACCTCCTTTGGACCTGGTTAATCATCAGTTAAAGGAGGGGTGGGCTGACTACAGTACGGGTGTAATGCTAACAGGTCTGTTGGAGTGAGACCCTGGTGTGAGATGAGTCTCAAGTTAGCAGGGCCACAACTGTTTGGAGAAGGGCGTTGAGTGTTGGCAGAGAGCACGGAGGTGAGAGGAACTGGAGGCGCGGAAGGGCCTTGTGTCGTTGCCCTCAGATGGCGTGTGCAGCGCACAGGCAAGGCCTTGACTCACTGGTGCATGGATAATGTTGGAGAGAGTATCCCGCGGCTAAGCTGCACTTAACAGCACATTGATTTCAAACCCCTGTGTTCCCTCTGGAGGGCAGTGGGACGCACCTCAACAGGCCGGACCCCCCTTCCCACCTTCCCTTTCTGACCACCACCACCATTTACCATCTCCGCAACCAACCCCTCCCACCATCTACCCATCCCTGGGTCGATTTGGGTACACCATGCTGGTCACTGGCTTCTACCCCCCCCCCTCTTCTGAGTGTCCCGGAGGAGCTGAATAGGATTCAGGGGCACTAAGGCTCCCGCAAGACCCTGGTCTTGAGAGCAGTGTTTTGGGTAGGGCATGCAGAGGCAGCCGTGTGGAAAAGATCTGTGGTCAAAATCAATGCATTGGCACTTTGATAGAGCGCTCCAACAGATTTGGGAATTTCACATTCTATTCTTTCTCTCCTGGCACCATCAGAAGGCCTCACCACTGGAGGAAAAACAACATCCACAAATCCTTCTGGGAAAGAGGGACTCTTCTTCTGGGACAAAACACGACATAGTCAATATTCATTCATTTGGTGGCTTGTGTCTAACATGTTACACCCTCTAATATGTCACCTCTTGCCGCTCAAAAGATGAATGAAAAACATTTGCATAACCTTTGCACAGATTCTAGTACTAGATTCTAAGTACTGCAGCCATGCCTTTACTAAGAGACACGGGTTATAATTCTTTCACGACAGTAAGTTCAGTACTTTCTGCTTTTTTTTTTCCTTTCCAAAGCTTTGATAGAGAAAACTTTTCTTTCTCATCTTCACCACACCTTGCAGTCTGCATCTCTTTACGTGAGTCCCAGCACAGGTGGATGCCAGTGTGGTGCTTCTTCCACTTGTCTAACTTCTGACTCATCTCCCAGCTGCATTATGCGGATGCATGTTTCAGGAGCAGTACACAGCACTCTTCTTTGTGCGCTAATGGGCTCTCAGCATCTTTAAGACTCAGGGTACAATTAAGAGGTGATAGTTTGATCTCCCACCTCGCAGTTCTATTTCTGAGCTGCCGCGTGATTATGCCGGAGGTTGATGGGCGGGTGAGGAACGGGCTCTATTTAAAGGAAGACACCAATGAACTG